ACAGGGCAGTATTCCAACATGATAATGACCCCAAACACACCTCCAAAACGACCACTGCCTTGCTAAAGAAGCTGAGGGTAAAGGTGATGGACTGGCAAAGCATGTCTCTAAACCCTATCGAGCATCTGGGAGTGATCCTGAAACAAAAGGTGGAGGTGTGCAAGGTCTCTAACATCCACCAGCTCTGTGATGTCATCATGGAGGAGTGGAAGAGGACTCCAGTAGCAACCTGGGAAGCTCTGGTGAATTCTATGCCCAAGAGGGTTAAAGCAGTGCTGGAAAATAATGGTGGCCACACAAAATATTGACACTCTGTGCCCAATTTGGATATTGTCACTTAGGGCTGTACTCACTTTTGTTGCCACTGGTTTAGACATTAATGGCTGTGTGTTGCGTTATTTTGAGGGGACAGCACATTTACACTGTTATACAAGCTGTATATTCACTGCTTCATGGCACAGTGGTTTGTGCTGCAGCCAAAATTGTGCTCCCGACACGGGGTTCAATCCCAGGTAGCCGGCTCAAGGTTGACTCAGCCTTCTATCCTTCCGAGGTTGGTAAAATGAGTACCCAGCTTGCTGGGGGGGGGGGGGGGAGTGTGTAGCCTGCATAATTAACTTGTAAACCGCCGAGAGTGCTTGAAGCACTATGGGGCGGTATATAAGCAGCAAGCTTTGCTTTTGCTTTGCTTTACACTGTAGCCAAGTGTCATTTGTTCATTGTTGTCACATGAAAAGATATACTGAAATATTTATGAATTGTGAGGGGGTGTACTCACTTCTGTGATATACTGTATAATATTTAGATAAAAAGCCAAAACATTGTTTTGGTTTGTTTGTTTCTTAGACTTCTACTGCGCCCATCTAGACCAAAGGTCTACTCTGGGCAGCATTACAAATTTTTAAAAACACTGCAACCAATAAACCTGCGACACTTCAATGTTGTGACACTTCAAAGACTAACATGTTTTACTGAACACAAGCTTTTCCAGACTGATGCCCATCTCATCGGATGCACCTAAAAAAATGGTCTGCAAAGCATAAGTAGCTTATACTTAACAAAGCTTGTCAGTCTTTAAGGTGCCACAAGATTCTTCATTTTTTTTCATGGCAACAGGCTGACATCTGGTCATACAGCAGTAGCAACTGTTTCACATTAAGAACTGGGTGGAATATTGATCTTGTAGGAAATTTCCCAGAATTCAGATGATGTTTCTCTTGCTCTGCATTCTGACTTCCAGCAAGTTCTTGCACTTTTGTGTCTCTACCCAAAACAAAGCTTACTTTTTGCACTCCTGTATACTGGAGTTTTGTGTGATGGCACTTCCCAAATACTTTTGTTCTCAGGGCTGCAATAGGCTTATCTCAGAATCACAATACAAATTTTTAACAATGGGGAAGTATGAGAGTCTATGTCCACAATGTATAACACCACACAAAAGGTAAACAGAGATTAATTTACAATGGCTATTCAAAATGGGGGGGGGGAACAAGAGAAAGCAGATGTTAATTATGATCACAAGAGATTAGTTATGAGCCCCCCCCCATGTTTTTTGGAACCTGCATTGAAGGGCTTGAATTACCACAGCAGTGAATAAATGGGCACACATGTAGTTCTATACCCTGATCCAACACCATGTAGTACTTACCTCAGTACTGAGGGCCAACAACAAATCAGAATTCTGAGGGTGGTAAGTTATTTGTGTCAAAGGATGGAAAGGGAGATCTGTCATTATGAAGTTTTTAGCAAAATCTGATGACTTGAATATTCTTCCTGTATGTTCTGGTCCAGATCTATCCCCTGTTAATATAACCTGGACAGAAAGATATAAAAAAGGAATGCTTCTCAAGTTTCAACACAGAGGTTATTAAAGAATCATAGAGTAATGAAGTTGGAAGGGGCCTATAAGGGCATCAAGCTCAGTGCAGGAATATCAAATGATATCTGCCAGGTGGTTGTCTAAATTTCTCTTGAATGCCTCCAGTGTTGGAGCATGCACTACCTTCTCAAGGTAACACACTACCAGTTTTTCATGTGTGAAATAATGAGAAGCATCATGTGTGCACATAATGAGAAGCATAACTGCATATTTCAAATATTATACGTTTTGAAGAACACAAACCAAAAGGTCACAAAAACAGAAACAAAATAAATCCAAAAACTCACTGGGTAGGATTCTTAGTTAATTCCATATCCTGCCTTTTCTTGCTCTTCTCTGTCGTGGAAATTTGTAGTGCAAATTGATGCAAAGACAACATTTCACTATGATATGAGTGCATACCTGCCCTCTATTTAAAAAGTTTTAAGATTATGTTAAAAAGAACATAATCATTCTGTTCACATCCCAGTACCGTAAGAAAACAATACTCATAAAGCCCAAGGATAACCTTGATGACCCAGAATGAAATATATTTTGCATGGGTACAAAAACTTCTGGTTTTGGCACCAATCAGAGGCAGCAGAAGCCCTGCAAAGCCCTCAGTAAAATACAAATGTGATGAATGGTAAGACACATGCCATGTCCTGTTGACCACAGAAACAAACTTAGTGCACTGCATTACAGAAGAAGAGGAGAAGAAGCAATAGTTGGAAGGCACACATTCTGCCAGAAGGGGAGAAAAAGCAATAGTTGGAAGGCACACATTCTGCCAAGATATTGACCTACTCTTAACAACCAAGCTTTGTCAAACAACCACGCCCAGAACACTGTGAGACTGAGTAAAAAAATCTGGTGACCTTGACAAAGCAAGTGATTGTTTTTCTGTAAAAGTGGGAAAATTGAAGCATCAAATAGGATGTGTGTCTGGTAGCCATACAGTCCAGTGGGACACAGAACAGTCACACAAGTAGAGAACAGCATGGATTTTATGACAGAAATTTGTGTGACACATATAATACAAGCTTCTAGGTGATGCTGTGTCAGCTATCTATAACTTGGCAAGCAGATGTAAGGTGCAGAGCTGTGAACAAAGTTCAGTTCCACCCGACATTCCAGGTGAATAATAACTCAAGCAAGTTCTCATGTTCTCATTTGGTACTAAGCTAGTAAGTTACTAAAATACATCAGTTCAAGATTCTTCTTTAAAAGGTCAAGTTCCACCTTTAAAAATAAAGCAGAGTTAGGCAATGCGTTGGGATACCTAGTGTAGTGTAGTGGATTGAATGACAGACTAGGACTCAGGAGGCCTGGATTTGAATCCCACTCAAGCACGGGAACTCACTTGAGGTGTGGAACTAGTCAAACTACTCCTTAAATATCTCACTTATATTGAAAGCCCTTTTAGGGTTGCTGTAAATCAGTTCTAATTGGATGGCACATAACAAAAACGAATGTGTGCCTCCCCCTCAACTCAATGTTGCTGGCCTGTAGCACTGATGAGCACAAGGATTTTCAGATGAAGAACATTTGCAGGATTATGCAGTTTCTATCCATTATTTAAAGGACTGGGATTAGCAAGCAGTCTCCCAAAACATATTAGCAGGCTTTTCTTACCTTTCCTGAATTCTCTGGACCAATAGCCATTCCAAATTCTGTTCTGATGAAAGTGTTGTTAATGAGATCAGTGATGTCTGTGAACGTTTTCCCATAGTCTTCACTAAGATGCAAGGAAAAAGAAAGACATATTAAAGGGAAATTTATCTCAACAGGAGGCTACGCAGGACTGGCAGTTTGTGTTTGAAAGTCTCTTAAAAGCAACTGGAAATACCAAATAAATGACAGGAAAAATCTAAATATTTGAAAGTGACAATGTTACTACTACTTCACAGACTTCTTATGTTGTGGCTTATTCATGTGTGGAGTCATGTACAGAGTACCTCAACAGGAAAAATCAAAATATTTGAAAGTGACAATGTTACTCTTCACAGACTTCCTATGTTGTGGCTTAATCATGTGTGGAGTCATGTACAGAGTACCTCATTGTGATACTGATGAGCACAAATATTCAGAAACACAGGGACAAATATTCAAATATGGTGTGATAGAGAGAAAAAACCACACAGAAATAGCTGTTGAACATGAGCATATATAATGGCTATTATTTAAAATCTAAACAGTAACCCTTATCTTTCAGATATGCCTCAAGATTGATAATATAATAAGCATCTTAAAGAATAAATGAAATAATGTGTCAAAATGTAGTAATAAGATGGCAACCAAAAATCCAGCTGTGTTTGATCTTAAAGAGGAACTGATAATCATATTAGGCATAATATGCTATTAAACATCCAGGAAAGGCAGAACTGACTCCATGGTGTCTGAAAAATAAAAGTAGTGCCAGCTGAACAGACCAAAGAAGAACCTCATAATTTTAAGTTTCTACATGTAAAGCAGTGCCCACAGGGCAAATGTGATGTATAAACTGTCCCTATTAATTGAGGCAAAAGGTCCACATATATCCAGCCAAAGCTCTATTTAACACCTTAAACAATGCAACTGACTTTCTTTACCATGTAAGAAAGCAAAAGAGCTGATAACTAGTTCCACCAAGGTAATAGACATGGGAATGTTTCAGCCTTTGTTTAGTGCTTTTTTCTTAAAAGGATTGGCAATCGATGAAGTTGAATATTTAACTATGTTGACAGCTCCGTCCTCAGAGAAAGAATATAGAAAGGTAGGAGGTAAATGGCAGAAAGTAAGGAGGAATTAAAGAACCTCGTCATGAGGGTGAAAGAAGAGAGTGCAAAAAATGGTCTGAAGCTCAACATAAAAAAAAAAACCCTAAGATCATGGCCACTGGTCCCATCACCTCCTGGCAAATTGAAAGGGAAGATATGGAGGCAGTGACAGATTTTATTTTCTTGGACTCCAAGATCACTGCAGATGGTTACAGCAGCCACAAAATTAAAAGACGCCTGCTTCTTGGGAGGAAAGTGATGACAAACCTAGACAGCATCTTAAAAAGCAGAGACATCAGCTTGCCAACAAAGGTTTTTTCAGTAGTGATGTATGGAAATGAGAGGTGGACCATAAAGAAGGTTGATGGTCAAAGAATTGATGCTTTTGAATTGTGGGGCTGGAGGAGACTCTTGAGAGTCCCCTGGACTGCAAAGAGAACAAACCTATCCATTTTGAAGGAAATCAACCCTGAGTGCTCACTGGAAGAACAAATCCTGAAGCTGAGGGCCCAATACTTTGGCCACCTCATGAGAAGACTCCCTGGAAAAGACCCTGATGTTGGGAAAGTATGAAGGCAAGAGGGGAAGGGGATGACAGAGGACAAGATGGTTGGATGGTGTCATCAAAGCTACCAACGTGACTTTGACCAAACTCTGGGAGGCAATGGAAGACAGGAGTGCCTGGTGTGCTCTAGTCCATGAGGTCACAGGGTTGGACACGACTTAACGACTAAACAACAACAAGGAGGTAAATAAGGTCTTCAAATGTTCACAGGCCTATCTGTAGAGGCAGCCAGTAAGGATTGTTTCTGCAGGATTTCCAACATGTTAAAGTGGTGTTGGTTTACATATGGTCATCCATTACGGTGAACTAGATGGTAAAGGGAATATATGTAGCTGCCTCCCATCAACCTTAACAAGCACAGCCAATGATGAGTAATAATGGGAAGTCCAATAATACCTGGAAAACCACACATTCCACAAATCTGTGATAAACGATTCTGAGTCAATGTGTTCACCTGTGTATTTACACTGGTCATATGTAGACATGCAAAAGCATAGTAAACCCATTGTTCAGAAGATAGGAATAAATGTGAATGAACCAATAGGAAAGCTGCTTCAAGCACAAAATAGATCACCTGCTTTATAACCTATTGTTTAAACCTGTGCGCCTTTGCTTAGCTGCACCACACAGTGGATTTTCTGCACACCTTGTAGCACTCTCTAGGTCAATGAACTGGGTTCTTCACGGATTTCAAACATACACTCTAGTCCTCAGGAATCATACCAGCCAGTGTTTATCTCTGACTTTTCTGAGAGGCAAACCCATGCCAATAAATGTTTATTTTATTTATTTATTAGATTTCTAAAAACCCATGCCAATAAATGTTTATTTAATTTATTTATTAGATTTCTATCCTGCCCTACTAGACAAAGTCTACTCATGGCGGGTTCCATTAAACATTATAAACTAGAACAATTAAAACAATTCAAAACAATAATGTTAGTAATGCTCAAGATGGGAAAACAGAAAATTATAATTATAATTTCAGAAAATTATAATAAGAAAATTATAATAAGAATAAAGTCAGGTATTGACAGGAGGGAAGGTCTGCCTGAAGAGCCAAGTTTTTAATTGGCTCTTAAAAACTTATAAATAGGCAATCACGATTTGCATGACGTGCACTGGGGATCAGTGGCAAATTCTTGGCCTCAAATAAAAACTACAATGTGCCTGATATTCATAAATATGCACAAAAATATTGTTCTTACCTTCGGTAGAGTTTAGACTGCCCAACAGTCACAATCAGCAGTGGTACTTGAAATGTGGTCAACACAAGAATGACCTGGACAGAGGGAGAAAAGCCAGTTAGCTCAAATAGTCTTGGTTGTGTGTTTTTGTTTTTGTTTGTATTTATTTTTTTCTGATGGAGGTAGGTAAGTAAGTAAGTAAGTAAGTAAGTAAGTAAGTAAGTAAGTAAGTAAGTAAGTAAGATTTGTATTTATTTTTTTCTGATGGAGGTAAGTAAGTAAGTAAGTAAGTAAGTAAGTACGTACGTACGTACGTACGTATGTACGTACGTTAGTTAATTCCAACAGTGTTGAAAGAAGAGCATACACATGACACTGTCTTAGGGCCAAGAAACTACAGTACTCGGTTTCTGTAGAGACCAATTCCCATTATGTTTAGAGCTACATGGCAGAAACAACTCATATTTACTTTCTTGCAGTTGTTTTTTGTGATGGTAGATTATTTCTCGCACTTTTAAAAACATATACATATGATACAAACTTTCATAAGGCCAACTGAGTACGCAAGACACTAACTGGATGTCATTTCGTTTTTTATTCCAAAAACTGTTCATCTAACTTTACAATTTTCTTACTCTATTTGATAACCTTTGGAAAAGCCTTCTACTTACTAACAATCACCTAATGCTTTAAACATCCTATCCTGTAGTGTCAACATGTTCCCTGCCTCCTACGGACAAGATAACACACCTAATCCATGGTAAGTGTAACTCACCTGGCGCAAGTCTCTTAGTTAATAGGTAATCTATGCCTAGAAACAGGGTTCTACAGATTAGTATCAAATATAACCCATTAATTTGGCCCTTAGTCTCCCCAAAGCCACTTTGTACATAAAAATTGAGAAATTAAGATACATACTGTAATTATTATAATATGAATGTATCTGATTCTGCTCTTACCATGCTTCTCTTAATTACTAGCTAAGAAGCAGGGACAGTAACACTCCAATTAAAAAAGGAAATTAAGCTACCAGAAGGTGCTTACATCAAAACTAGGACAACGGACACATTTACTGTAAACAGCTGCATACTTGTATGAAAGTAAAAGGATGCCATTTCACTAGCAGAGAAGATCAGTAACTTGCAATTTAGCTGATTTTTGAACTCTGCATCCTGAAGACATAAATGTCAAAAGCTTCAGTATGCCCCCCCTTCCAATTTTGGAAATGATATACACTTTTACTTGCCAATCAATATAGCAGGAAATTAGCAAATAAAGTTTGTAATCAGATAACATCATATGACATAAAGAATCAAGGCTCCAGCCACAAGGGCTCCAACCATAAACCTCAGTCTTAATACCATTTGGGGTTTGTTGACTCTGCTTATCAAATATATAGCTGAGATTTTATATTTTTATTGATTTTAAAATACTACATATGTACTGCACATTGATTCCAGAGAAGATTTAAAAGTGATGAACATAAAGAAATAAAATGGCAACATCTAAACAATAAAACTGAGATCATTAACATTATCATCCAGCATTAAAAAACATAAATGCACATTTAACACTATAACTGTTATTTTAATATGCTTTTGCAAATAACAATAGTTTTGATCTGGAATCCAAAAGTGGCCCCATCTTTGCTGTACTCTGTTTCTCTTTAGGCAGGCTTTCCTTCAATGACTGGTGGTCTGAGAGAGGTTTTTAAATGGACTGTTGAGCTTTGCTTTTTTAAAATATGTTTTAGTATTGATTTTATTGTTTTTAATATAAATTCTTAAATTCTTTTTAAATATATTTATACTTTAGCTGTTTTTAGCTTTTAATTTTTTTTAATGATGTAAGCTACCTTGGGTCATTGTCAAAGAAAAAGGCGAGACAAAAATATTTTAAATAAATAAATGATAATAAATAAAAATGTAAGTCATGTTAGTGTCAGAGGAACCTCCTGGAGGAGAGCGTTTCCAAGTAAGGGTGTCACCACATACAAGCCCTGTCTTTTTTGCAGATCAATGCACTTGTCTTATAGAATGCACACAGATTAGGGCCTCCTATGAAAATGTTGGCTGAAATCCATTTGCTAACTTCACAGTAAGTCCAAAACACCAAGACGGAAGTACTCTTCACAAAGCATTTCTGCAGCTGCATTGCACAATTTATCACTGTGGGAACAACATAACTGGATGTGCAATTGAACTGCACAATTGTTGCCAGGGTGCAATGCCCAGCACATTTACACAGGTGCAACATTACATTGTACCTAGATGAAGAGAATTCCAGCGATTGTGACAATTATGTAGTATACTTAACAAATTAGGAATCTTTTAGTTAAATGTGTTTGGCTGAACACCAAGGATCAGAAACCAACTGGTTTCTCCACTATCAACAATTTGTGCCCAGAAAATACTGTCTCTTTTGGCAATAGTCCCATGTATAAACGTATACCGCATTTTTCCATGTATAAGACGACCCCCACTTTTCCAACCCCAAATAAGAAAATTTGATTGCTGCTTTGCCCCCCCCCCCACTTCCTAAGCCCCGTGAAAGCAAGATCAAAGGGCTGTGGAAGTAGAAGGGAAAAGCAGTGATGAAAACATTGCAGGATCGCAGGCCTTTGATCCTGCATCCCTTTCATGGCTACTTTCCCAACCACTTCATAAACTCTGCAGGGCTTAGGAAGTGGAGGGGTAACGAAGTAGAAGGAAAAAGCAGTGATGAAAACGCTGCAGGATCGCAGCCCTTTGATCCTGATCCCTTTCATGGCTACTTTCCCCACCACTTCATAAGCTCTGCAGGGCTTAGGAAGTGGAGGGGTAAAGCAGCCATGAAAGGGCTGCAGGATCAAAAGGCTGCGATCCTGCAGCCCTTTGATCACTGCTTTACCCCTCCACTTCCTAAACCCCGTGGTAAAGCAGCCATGAAACGGCTGCAGGATCAAAGGGCTGCAATCCTGAAACACTTTGATTCCTTTTCCCCTTACTTCCGTGTATAAGATGAACCTCAATTTTTAGTCTAAAGATTTTAGATAAAAGTATCATCTTACATATGCAAAAATATGGTGAATATTTGCCATGTAGTCTCACTCTTATATTAAATCTGGTAAAAATATGGTAAATATTTGCCATGTAGTCTCACTCTTATATCTGAAGTGGACTTGCCTACGAAAGTCTCTAAGGTGCCACAACACTTTTGTCTTTTTTTTTTGTCTGATATGCTATCTACGAAAGTCTCTAAGGTGCCACAACATTTTTGTCTTTTTTTTTTGTCTGATATGCTAGCACAGACTAACACGGTTACCTGATCTAAAACTATAACTGGTGTTAGGAATTGCTAACAAGAAAGTCCACTGATGAAATATTCCCCCCGATGTTTCCAGTGAGTCTCAAGCATTATCGACAATGTCACTCATTTAAATAAAGGGGTAGGAAAGGGTAAGGGCAGCAGAAAGGGGCTGTAACTTCCCTATTGGACATTTATGTCTCCCATTTCAAGCATCATGGAATTCTACTGCCGCTTGGTGACAGCAGAGCTAATGTACGCTTCCCTACCATATGCAGCCTCTTCACTTCTAGTGACAGATGTGGCCAGCCTGCCAGTGTGTGGTCCATTAACCATATACTTCAAAATCTAGTTACCAAGCTAAAGTTCAAGGACTACAGAGAGTTAAACTAGACTGAATTTTATCAAAGGACAGAAATCTACCAGTTGGTAATATAGATGGTGTCCATTTAAGATGAGGTGAGGACTTCAACTGGTATTGGGTTCTCAGTTGTCACTTGGAACCACTCTGAAGAGTGAGATTTTAGCTTCCTGAACCCCAGCCTAACTGAGTCCTATCTCATTTTGAGTTTCTCCACCTGGAAAAGGCATTCAGTGGGTTAATTCCCCAATGGGGAAGTAGAACAAGAAATGAGATCATTTCAGAAATGACAATTTCATGGGCTTTTTTATCCAGGTCACAGCTGAGTCCTGAGCCAACTTCATTTCTCTCTTCCCCTTCCTGGCCTGAGATTTCTTCTAAGCTGCAGCTGAGTCCTGGCCTAGCTTCAGAACATGACTGTCAGTGAGACGGATGGAGCTGAGAGGGAGGGGGGGTCTGACAGCTGAGCTTGGAGGGCTGAATTTAGACTGTGGGCCAGAGGGCCTTCATTCTTGATTTTAAAATAATGAATATGAATACTTCACATTAATCACTATTTAAAGGTGGGCATAAATATGTACTGTACTTTATCTGAAAATCTACTGCAAGACATATGTTTAAAACAACTTAAGCAGTTTTACGCTCTTTGGTTTCACAAGAAAAATGCCTATATTGCAATACTGATATTTTCATTCATACAAATTGTTCTAATATGTATGAATTAAACCAACATTTCACTTCTGATGTCATTTCAGAGAGTATCTTTATTACAACTTCCTAGCAATTCTTCAGTATGTCTTTTCCTACTGAAAAAAACGTTGGCTGTTGCTTAAAAACCTTCAGAGGTCTTCCCCCACCCCACCCCGCTCCAGGGAGCAAGTAACATCTCTGTGCAGGATATGAAGAAAGAGGTGGGGAATATTTCTTTTTCCCCACAAGGCCTCACCACTGAGGCAATTCTTACCTCAAGTTTAGATGGGCAACTAGATGCCTCTTACCAAAGTAAAATGAGTCACCAGGTATCCACAAAGCTTACACAATCTCTGACCATTTTCTCTAGACATAAGTAGGATGGCAATAAGCAAAAAAAGAACCTGAAAGGCTTGTAGCACATAGGTCTAAAGAGACACACTCCTCATGAGCCATCCAACAGGAATAACCCTACCTTCTCCTATACGGGAAGATGAAAGAAAAAGCACCCAGGATGAAAATACTGAGTCAACCACTGGATGGAATTATAATGTCACACATTGTTCTTTTATTCTTTCTGACTATTAAAAAAACTATTGCTTACCCCAGTGCTGTCACCAATCCAAGAAAGGGATACTGAGCCACTGAGGTCATTGAAGACACGCTGTAAAGGCAAATAGAAATATAGTTAAGATACCTGTCTTGTGCACATGTTAGAAAACAACCCTTTCCCTTCGCTCATCTCTTTCCTAAACTCCTAAATGCATTTGCAACTTACTATACCGCCATGTGTATTTTATCCTTTTACTCAAATTACTGCTGGATTCTTACTGACTTTGGAGAACTGGAAAATATTCCTATAGCTTTTCAGCATTCAAGCAACATCCAGGAGATATACAAAACCCAATTTTGTCTCTCGTATATGAACAGAGGAAGTTGCATCAATTATGGGCAGTTGTAACCTGGGAACTGGACTCACAGCTTTGCATGTGTTTCTTCAACCTAATCTCTGTAAGCTTTGGAAACATGCAAGTATTTGCTAATACTGCCAGTTCTAACTGATCACTTCTGTTATTTTTGCACCATAATTGTACATTTCTCAAAGGCAAAGCAAGTTGCGCACCTTCTACCTACAAGATGTGGCAAAAAGGCAAATTTTGTTTATTTATGCTCATTGTGTTAATTCTCCCCTATTGCTATATTGTTGCCAAATCAGAAGCCTGAGCAGGGCTAAGCACCACACCTTGGAATCCTTACATGGACTACTCTAATCACTTTAAATCCTTAGCACCATTCTTTCAGCTTATTATTTTGCTGGTGCATCTGGAGTCCTCCATATTTCCAAAATATTCAGATGATACACAAGAACCATGTCTATTAAGTGAAAGTTTAATAGTTATTATTTCACTTTATAAAACTGGTCAAATGTTCCTGAAGCACAGAACTGAGGCTTACCCACTTACTGAAAAATTACTGCAGCTTAGGAAGATTAAATCTTCTATCTACTCTCCACAGATAACCAAATTTACTCATGAAGCAGCTGTAACTTGAGTATTAGACAGTCTATCATATAATGACTGGAGCACAAACTATGTGATGCAGAGGCTGAGATCCTGTTGCATAATGTAACCAATATCATACCTTCCAACCCATTCCTTGCTGGCAAATGAATAGCTCCCATCATAATTCTTTGGAAAATCTATGCATGCACGGGCTAGTGTGCACACACAAAAATCAACATGTGTGTGTCCCTCAAAAATCATGGCAGGGGCTCTTTTTTATCGGCAAAGAACAAACCAAAATGTTTGATTCTGATGGCCACAGAATTCCCCCATTCTTTTCTCCTTGGTTCAGATGTTTTAAAACCAATGCAGCCTGCCAGCATGAGCAGCAGGGAGAGAAGGGTGTGATCAAAGGTTGCTCAACTCTATACAGGTGCCTCGCTTTACGATTGCTCCGTTTAAATGACTCTGATGGCCACAGAATTCCCCCATTATGATGACCTTTTTGTGATCGCTTTACGATGTTTCCTACGGGGGAATTTCACTTTGCGATGGTCAGTTCCCTGCTTCGGGAACCTATTATTTGCAAAATGATGATTTTCTAGCAGCTGATCGGCGGTTTCAAAATGGCCACCGGGTAAACAAAATGCCCCCCCACTGTTTTCTGGGACGGATTCCTCGCTGCATAGGCAGTGAAAATGGCCGCCCTATGGAGGACCTTCACTGGATGGTGAGTTTCCAGCCCATTGGAATGCATTAAACGGGTTTTAATGCGTTTCTATAGGCTTTTTAATTTCGCTTTACGATGTTTTTGTTCTACAGCGATTTCGCTGGAACGATTTAATGTCGTAATGCGAGACATCACTGTATACTCTGGTCCAGTGATGGCGAATCTATGGCATGCATGCAGCCTATGGCACGTGGAGACATCTCCTTTGGTACGCAAGCAGAGCACTAGCCCCCCACTACCCACCCCCAGCCAAATTACAAACTGCACCATCGTCAGCCACCTCTTCCTGCTATTTTCCTTGGTTCCAGCACTTCTTCTTTAAAAGATTGGAGATAAGCCTGCTTGATAGGTTACAGCTGACCCCCGGCAATCAATCCGGAGCTTGTGAATGACTACTTCCACCCAGAGGTGACTGCAAGCAGGAGGGAAAGGGTCCAGGTTAAGGAGGGAAGGAACGTGTGACTTCATCAAGCATGTTTAAATGTATGTACAAAATGGAGCGAGCGAGGGGTGGGTGTGGGTGTGTGTGAGAGAGAGAGAGGTGTGGGTGTGTGGGGTGTGTGAGAGAGAGAGATTGTGTGACTCAAAATTGAAAAAAACTGATTCAAGGAGGGAAAGCTCCAATTGAGGGAAGGAACGCGCAACTTCATCAAACTTGTTTAAATGTATGTACAAAATGGAGTCTGTGTGTGTATGTGTGGGGGGGGAGAGTGTGTGTGACTCAAAACTGTTAATCTCCACTGCATTTAGCTCTGCAGTTTGCTGAGAACAGCAGAAATCTAAAGTGTGTAGCAATTGCGTTTCTCTATTTCTCATCCCCAAAGCAGGCAAGAGTACCACAGTTTATTCCCAAAATCTGAATCCCAGTCATTGGGCGTCCTCCGGGAGAGGGTACAGGTGGGAGTGGGGGGTTTGGGGTGTGTAAGTCCAGGTAGGCGCGCGGGTGCGGGTGGTGGTGATGGGCAGTGGCGGCAGTGAAGAGCTGCTCATAGGCCGGCGGGAGCAGGGTCACCACGGGGATGGCGGCGGCTGCCAAGGGGAATCCTCCGAGCAGGTGGGCGCGCGCGCGCACCAGCCAGCAAAAAAGCAGCCGAGCAATCCAGGGAGAGGTTGCCTTTGGCAGCCGTTGCTGTTGGTGCTCATCCACGCCCTCCCTCCACTCTGATCTTCACATCTTTTTTCCCCGAGCTCCACGGAGCTCAGGGCAGGGGACGGGCAGATCAGCCAGAGG